TGACAGAGACTCTCACTAAGAGCAAGTGACTGGTTACATAAATCATGACTCCATTCTTCTACTGTTGAGTGTATATTTCCCACCTGGCTGCATTCGACTTTTTCAACTCATCCATCAAGACTCCAGAAACAGTCATTGGGAAATCTCATCATCTTTATCAACCTTGGTATTCATGCCCTATCAGTACCCTCTGCCCCTCTGATTGGAGGACAGAGCCATGAACTTCTCAATCTCCATTTAAGGAGGGGACACAGGATAGACATCTCATTCCCCACCTAGCTGCACTCATTTGGGTCTTCTTCAATTTTTCCACCATGCCTCAACATCCATGTCTCCCCTTCCCCCCACACACACACATACACCTTTTTCAGCTTTCTTTTTCTTTTTCTTTTTTTTTTTTTTTTTTTGGTGAGGCAATCAGGGTTAAGTGACTTGCCCAGAGTCACACAGCTAATAAGGGTCTGAGGCTGGATTTAAACTCAGATCCTCCTGACTCCAAGGCCGGAGTTCTATTTACTGCGCCACCCAGTTGCCCCCAGTTTTCTTTTATGTATTGTCTTCTCCCATCAGATTACGAACTCCTTGAAGGCAAGAATTTTTCATCTTTGTATAGTGTCTGAATCATAGTCATTGCTTAATAAATGTTTATTGATTGATGATTACATATCTGGGCCCATACTGTGCTGTCTCTAGATAGGTTGGTTTGAATGGTATGTCATCTCCACCCCCATAACTGTGTTTTAAAGAAAGAATTATCTAGTTCAGCTAACATAGACCCCCTTGCGGTAAGATTAAAAATCAGTATGGGAGAGATCTGAGAGAAGATAAATATGAGTGTAGCATCCACAGGAAGTACCCACTGATAGCTCATCACCTAGTTATGGAGGGGGCCCACTCATTTTCTCTTTTAAAATCTGAAGGCCATGCTTTCTTGCCTCTTCCTTACATGTACTGTGCCCCCTCACATTCAGTAACAATAATAATAGTTTATATTTCCAAAAAGCTTTAAAGTTTATGAGGCACTTTCTTCATAACAACTCTGGGAGTTCAGTAGCATATTATTACTTCCATTTTACAGATGAGGCAATTGAGATTCAGATAATTAGAACTTGAATTGAATCCTTCTGATTCAAACTCCCATGCTCATTCCTTTTTCATGCTCTTTTCCCCCTCAGCTAGATGGTACAGTGGATAAGAGCACTGGTCCCAGAGTCAGGAAGGCCTAAGTTCAAATCCAACCTCAGATATTTACAGTTGTATGACCTTGAGCAAGACATTTAACCTCTTTGTCTGCCTCAGTTTCCTCAACTGTAAAATGGGGATCTTAACAGCATCTGCTATTACTACATCTGCAATTACTAAGAGTAGTTGTGAGGATCAAATAAGATAATATTTGTAAAGTGCTTAGCACAGTGCCTGGCACATAGAAGGGGTTTAATAAATGCTTCTTTCCTCCTCTTCTCCCTTCAGAGGTAAACACATAAACTGGCCAAATGCTCTTGACTTCCTCTCAACACAGGCATGCCATCAGAACTACTATGTGTTGATCTGTTTTCTTACTTCTTCATCTTTTTTCAACTTTCCTAGCTTCTGTCTCTGCAAGGAATTTAAATATTCGAGATTCTCGGTTGTGTAGAGAAGCCTAATCGTTTGTGAAATATTATATAGAGACTCAAGCTTTTAAAAAATGGTGACAGAAAAAATAGAAGGCTAGGTCCTCAATGTGCTAATAACAAAGCTCCTGCGGTACCTTAAAGGGTGATGGATTGGGGTTTAGAGGACATGGGCTTGATTCCCAACTCTACTACTTGTTACCTGTGTGACTTTTTTTTTTGTCTAAATAGTTGTCATGTAAGTTGCTTTTCTGTAATGAGATAAAGACTTGAGTGGTATAGTTTGGCAGTGATGTGTGTATCTCCCAAATCTGGTAAAGAACTGTTATACACTTGCTAATGATACTAACTTTGATTGGTAGCTCCTTTTATCATGAACTTAGGTAATCAATCATCAAGCAAAACTTAGGTATAACTAGCTGATTCCCATATCTAGAACTATAAGCAACCCATGGAGATTCCCCAGTCTTCAGACTGACCTTGGATTGCCACTGAGGCTAGCTCTTGCATGCCCTGCATTTGAGACTCAAGCATGCCCCATGTTTAGTTGAGAGAAGTACTAACTGACTAATGGAGATTTGCAGGCTTGCTAGGCAAAACAAGGAAACACAAGGCCTGTGTCCAGACAGAGAGGGACCCTGGTCACTGAGCACCAGTAGGAGATATGCTCAGTGGGAAGTCTAAGAAATCAGATTAATGGCTTGTTCCTAGTGAGGTTAACATTTGTTCTGTCTGATAGATAATATAAACTAATGTTTACATGTATTTTGATTAATAAAGTTTGATTGCTAGCACTGAGGAGAGTATGTCTAATTAATGTTTCTGTTGCACTAGTTATTGTAAGTAATTGGCTTTGTGTGTGCACCATATATAACAGGAGTATACCCCAAAGCTTGACACAAGTATCACCTTGTATATGCATCCTTTCCTATTACCTCCGCCTTTGTATGTCTTCCTTCTCAAATTGCCTTGTATTAATTTTGTACATATTTTTACATACATTTGTATATGTAGATGTTCTCTTCCCTAATAGAAAATAAGCTTCTTGGAACAGCTAGGTGGTGCAGTGAATAGAGCACCGGCCCTGGAGTCAAGAGGACCTGAGTTCAAATCTGGCCTCAAAAACTTGACACTTACTAGCTGTGTGACCCTGGGTGAGTCACTTAACCCCATTGCCTTGAAAAAAAAACAAACAAAACAAAAATAAGCTTCTTAAGTTCCATATCTGTTTCACTTCTACCTTGAATCCCACAGAACTTGGCAAAGTACCTGACACATAGTAGTAACTTAATAAAGGCTTGGTCAAAGACAGAAAGAAAATATTTACAGAATCACTTCTTGTGGCAGCCAAGAACTGGAAACAAAGTGGAAGGGCATCTTTGCCTTTTGACAGGGGAAAGGCTAACCAAATTGGGGGACATGGATATAATGGAATATTATTGCTCCACCCTACCTCAGCCTCCCTCTCACCCTGGAACTTGCCTCAGTGCCTGGGACTTTCTCACCATGGAATATCCCTCCACCTCTCTGGCCCCCTCTTCTCCTATTAGTATGTTTCTCCTGGGACCTCCATTTTGGGGCCAAGCCCAGGCTGGCCATGCTTCATTCCCCTCCTGACTCTGCTGTTAACTCTCAGGACTTTGCCACTAGCCCTCCCTTCCCCTCCCCTCCTTCTGCTTTCCATCACCCTTTTATGTATTGTCTTTCCCCATTAGAATGTCAGCTCCTTGGGGGTAGAGAATATCTTTCTTTCTGCTAGTATTTGTGTCTCCAGCATTCAGCACAGTACCTGGCATAGATACATATTTCCTTTGCTATAAGAAATAATAGATATAAAGAAGAGAATCATGAGAAGTCATATAAATCAATACATTGTGAAATAAGCAGAACCAGGAATACAAGAGGCATAGTGACTATGACAATACCCATGGAAAGAGCCAAAAAGCAAACCAAATGCTAGGTAATTGAAGGACCAAAGATGCCCTCAGAGAAGAGATGAGAAAATGCACCATTTCTTCTCTCCGTTTGTTCCAGAGGTAAGGGACTACAGATGCAATGTGTGTGTGTGTGTGTGTGTGTGTGTGTGTGTATGCATATATATGTATGTATGTATAATATATATGTACATACATATATGTATCTATTTATGTATGGGTATGTATATGTATACACATATGTGTGTATACTGTCAGATGAGGTTGATATGTTAGTTGATTTTGCTGAACTGTTTTCTCTCTTTTTTAAAAAATTCTTTATTACAAGAGATGGCTTACTGGTAGTAAGGAGGAGGAATCTGTTCAAAAATGAAAGTGATTAACAAAAATCACTAAATTTTTAAAATGAAAAATTTAGGTATTTTTTCTCCTCTGGTGAATTAAGGGGTTTAAGAACCTTTGCTCCCACTAAGACCAGGAGAGTATAGGGCAATAGGTGGCACAGTGGATAGAGCACTGGGCCTAGAGTCAGGAAGATCTGAATTCAAATCTGGCCTTAGATACTTCCTGACTATGTGACCTTGGGCAGTCACTTAACTTCTGCCTGACTCAGTTTCTTCAACTGTAAAATATGATAATAATAGCACTTCCCTGCCAGGGTTGTTGTGAGGATCAAATTGTAAAGCATTTAGCACAGCACCTGGCACAGAGTAAGTGCTTAATGAATTCTGGTTCCCTTCCCCCTAAAGGCTAAGTAAGTACTAGTAGCACCAGTAGGGGTGTCATCACCCCAGCAGCTCTGGGGTTTGGCTTATAAAAGAAGTCAGGACAATCACAAGAAGGGTAGTTTGGGTGATTCAATGACTTTTTCATTTCTTGCTTGGGGCATTATTGTTTGGGGTTTGCTGTTGTTTTGTTTAATATGACTACTGTTAGGCAATAGCAAAAAAATAGTTATAGAGTAAGGAGGGAGAAGTGGGGGTGTGGGGAACATAGACTCTCTATTCTACAGCTAGAGGGGCCCTTGGAAGTCATCTGCTCCAGTGGCATCAACCTTAGATAGAAATGGGAACCACTATTCAATCAATCAGTAAACATATATTAAGTGTCTGCCATTTGCCAGACACTGTACATAAGGATCCCAGCAGGCAGCATGTTGACTTAGATTTAAAATGTAATGTTAGCTACATTTTATTTTATTTTCATTTATTTTGTTAAATATTTCCCAGTGACATTTTAATCTGGTTCAGGATACCTCTGACCTAGTCTAAGGATTTTTAACCTGACGTCTGAAGATAGATTTCAGGGGATCTGAGAATTTGGATGGCATTAAAACAAACAAACAAACAAATCTTTATTTTGATATCATTAGTTTCCTTTGTAATCCCAAGTATTTTATTTTATATATCTAAAATATTTTACATATTTAAAACCATTATTCTGAGATGGGGTCCATTGGCTTTACCAGACTAACCAAAGTGATCCGTGACATACACACAAAGGTTAAGAACCCCAGATCTAGTCCAATGCCTTCATTTTACAGATGAGGAAACTGAGACCCAGAGAGGTGAAGTGACTGAAGTCAGAGGAGTGCCTGAGGATTTGAAGACTGATTCTAAATCTAGCATTCTTCCCACTACACTCTGCTGATTCCAAAGGTCCCAGCTCCTCACCCCTTGCCGTGGGATGGCAATCACATCAGCTGTCTGGTCTCTGATTTTTTACTTCCAACTTGATACAAAATGATGTTTTGCTTGGACATTTTGGGGCTGCATGAGTGGCGGTGTGCCCATCTCCCCAGTCCTGTCATATACTACTGATAACTCTGTTAGACTTGAGCTGTCTGTCCTATTTAAAGGACATTTAAATATTTAAATATTTCCTGTATTTCCAAGACACTTTTAAAAAAATTCATGCTCTCATCTCTGTCCCTATAAACATGAGGGCTGGTGGTCAGTTTAAAAAAATACATAAATCTCATCATGCTAAGCTTGGCAACTCTCTTCCACCACCTTCTTTGCAGTCCGCCACCTCTCATCTCTGCATCCTCTCATTCCAGAATAGTCTTCTGGTCCTCCATCAGAGGAATACACCGGAAGGATGTTCCATTTGGTCAGGAGCATAAGTGACAACAGGTGAGGTTTTCCTGGGGCACTGGAAACGTGGTATGTTGGCATAAATGGCAAAATCATCTTCCTTCTGGGCAACCAGGTTGATCACATTGGAATATATTGCATCGGGTTGGTAATCTACAGCCTTCCAAGACAGAACATCTGGTTAGATAGACCATTGGAAACTTCTGGTCTCCCAAAGACACATTGATTTATCTGTTTGATAAATGAAATGCTGAGTTCTCATTGTGAGATCATGAGGGATGAGGCTAACTTTGGGGGTGAGGGCTAAGAGCAAGGGAAAGGCAGGCAAATTTGATTAGTCAGAGGGAATTAATCGCTTTCCTGTTGTTTACAGGATGCTCAGTTGTACTTAATGATATTCAGGTAGCTCCTGGATGAATATCATCAAATTTATACATGTCACTTCAGGATCAAATCATTAATACATCATAATCAAACCCTGGCATACTGAATGAAGGACCAGCCTTGGAGTCAAAAGACCTGGGTTCAAGTTCTGACTCTGATACACAGGATGAAAGGTTTAGAGCTAGAAATCACTCCCAGAGGCCATATAATCCACACACCCACCTCATTTTATCAAGAAAGTGAGGCCCAAGGAGGTTAAATTAAGTGATTCACCCAAGGTCACAATATAGTAAGTAATAAAGGTGGGATCTGAACCCAAGTTCTCTGACTCCAAATCCGTTGCTCTTTCCATTATATCACTGTGCTTCTGTACTATCTGTGTGACCATTGACAAGTCACCCAGCTTCTCATTGTCCTAATCAAATAAAACCATAAATTACAGATGAGTGGCCAACTTGCTCAGTAGAGGAAGTTTCCATACCAAGAGTTGCCTACACTGACAGCTCTAGACCAAAAATAACAATAATGACCACTCTACTATAACATCCCCAAACCTTGAGGTACCATTGTTCGTCACTAGTATGTTTTTTGTAAAAATAGTTCCTATAGAATTACTTGCCAGTGTAACATCATTTCTAAAGAATGAAGTAAGGTCTTGGGTGAGATTAGCCAGTATTTGTCCACTGTCTATGTCGGAGTCCATCTAAGAAATGGCAGCATTGCTTGACTTGGATATTCAGGGAGTACTTTCTGGTTTTACTCTTTGGATCTCTTACCTTGGACTTCAAGAGAAAATTGTTCCATCTCTTCTGTTTCTTGAGAAGCCCTAAAAAAAAATAAAACCCACAATCAGACAAAAAAGGGCAAACTCATCCCTTAAATATGTTGGTCCACTCCATTGGTGTGACCAGGTTGAAACTCCCATCTTAATTCCCAGTTCTCGGAAGGAAAGGTAGCTCTTTGGCCAGAATTGACTGCATTTGGGGTTGGATTCTAATGTGACTCGTGGCATCATAGATTGAGAGCCTTGGAGGCCATTGAATTCAATCCCTTCCTTATTAAAAAATTATTATTATGAAAACAAAAGGGTTTGATACATTATTATTAGTAGTAGTAGTATTACTGGTATTTAGGTAGTACTTGCTCTGTGTCAGGTATTGTGCTGAGTGCTTTACAAATCTTATCTCATTTGATCCTCACAATAACCCTAGGAAATATCCTTATCTTACAATTGAGGCAACTGAGGCAAAAAGAGTTTAAAGGTCCAAAGTGTCTGAGGTTGGATTTGAACTCAGCTCTTTTTGAGTTCCTAGGTGGTACAGTGGATAGAGTACTGGGCCTCAAATCAAAACCTAAGCTCACATCTGGCCTCAGATACTTATGAGCTGTGTAACCCTAGGCAAGTCACATAATCCTGTTTGTCTCACTTTCCTCATCTGTAGAATGAGCTGGAGTGGCAAACCACTCCAGTGTTTCTGCATGAAAACCCTGAATGGGGTCACAAAGAGTTGGACGTGACTGAAAAATGACTAAACAAGAATTTCCTAATTCCAGTTCCAGTGTTCTATCCATGGCACCACTTTACAGATGAGGAAACTGAGGCAAAGAGGTTAAGTGATTTGCCTAGTGTCACTCCACTAGTAAGTTTCCAAGGACCTTGTGACTCCAAATCAAGCATTGTGCCATCTCTCTGTCTTCCTCTTTGACACACAGACATTCTAACTGTTGCACTAGCTCCTTCGGCATCCATGTATGTATCTAGCTCAGCTCCCAAGGTGTCATGGGGAGACTAAGCAGGACAGAGCCTATTGGCATAAGTACTTAATAAGTTGGCTTTTCATTTTGTGTTATATTTAAAGTGCTCAGGATAGACTGGATCCTGCACTATCATTTGTGAAACACTGGGGAAAAACCAACCAACCAGCCAAGGAAAGCATCTGAGCAACCTTAGAGATTTTCTAGAAAGACGTGAGAAATAATTATACGAGATCACATGGGATGGGATGGTTCCCATCTGTATGGTGTATGCATGGGTGTAATAATAATAAATAATAATAATGTTATAATATAATTTTTATAATAATGTAACAATAATGTAATCGTGGATCCATTGATTTAGCAAAATATTTAAAGTAAGTTACTAAGAGTTGGTTTCAATATTACCATTGTCATTGATGTGTTCTGCATATATCCTCCACCAAAGTCCTTTTCTAATGGCTCATCATGTCTGGATGTCTGGCTACCACATTTTAGGAAGAATATTGATAAGGAAGACAGTAACCAGGAAAGGATAGCCAGGATAGGGAAGGTTCTCAAGACCATGACATCCATTTGGTTGAGGGAACTTGGGATGTTTAACCTGGACAAGAGAAGACTTAGGAGAGACATGACAGTTGTCTTCAGGCATTTGAAAGGCTTTTATAAGGATGAGAAGATGCGTGTTCTGGGGCCAAAACTAGGAGCAATGGGTGGAAATTGTAAATCAGTTCAATCCAATAAGCATTTATTAAATGTCTGTTATATAAAGCGAGGAAGCATGTAGTAGTGTTTAGAGAGCCAGCTTTGGAACTGGAAAGACCTGTTCAAATGTGGTCTCTGACAGACACTGTCCATGCAACCCTAGACAAGTCACTGAGATGTTAAGCTAAGAAGATTCATCCCCAGAGATGGTTAGCCACCAGGCAACAACATTTTTGATTGTAGAATCTCATTGAACTGTCTGAACTGATTACTTCCAATTTAGCCTCCAACATAGCTAGGTGGCACAGTAGATAAAGTGCTGGGCTTGGAGTCAGGCTGACTAACCTTCCTGAGTTCAAATATGGCCTCAGACACTTATTAACTGTGTGACCCTGGACAAGTCACTTTACCCTGTTTGCCTCAGTTTCCTCACCTGTAAAAATGAGCTAGAGAAGGAAATGGCAAACCATCCCAATATCTTTGCCAAGAAAACCTCAGATGGGGTCACAGAGAGTTGGTCACAACTGAAACAACTCAACAACAACAAAAGCTTGTTTGTACACAGTTGGCATGTTGTCTCCCCATTATGAGTTCCTTGAGAGTTAGAATTGATTTTTGCCTTTCTTTGTTTCCCCAGCTCTTATCACAGTGCCTGATTCATTGTTGCTGTTGTTCAGTTGTTTAGTCATGCTTGATTCTTCGTGACCCCATGAATCATATTGTCCTTGGGGTTTTCTTGGCAAAGATACTGGAGTGGTTTGCCATTTTCTTTCTCCAGTGCATTAAGGTAAACAGAGGTTAAGTAGTGTGTTAAGTTATGTGCCTTGTTCAGGGTCACATAGCTAGTAAGTGTTTGAAGCTGCATTTGAATTCATGTCTTCCTGACTCCAGGCCCAGCTCTCTATCCACTAAGCCATCTAACTGCCCCAAACTCTACTCATAGTGGGTGCTTAATAAATATTTACTGGCTGACTACTTGTGGCCTTAATGGTTACAAAGCCTTCATAAAATCAAAAGGCCTCAATGTATTCAGGAAAATAGTTATACATATATGTGGTTTTCAACACAAATAAATGGTACTGATAATATGGAAATATGTTTTGTATGACTTCACATGTGTAATGGACACCATATTGCTTAGCTTCTCAAGAGGTGGGGGAGAGTTGGGAGGAAGAGGGAGAGTTCAGAACTCAAAATTTTAAATAAAGAATGTCTTTCAAAAATTTACATGTAATTGGGAAATTTTTAAAAAAGAAATAAAAATTATTTTTTAAAAAGAAAAAAACTCATCAAAGAATTGAAAATTGAGGGGATGCCCATCAATTGGGGAATGACTGAGCAAGTTGTAGTATATGAATGTAATTAAATACTATTGTACTATATGAAATGATGAGCAGGCAGACTTCAGAAAAACCTGGAAAGACTTATATGAACTGATGCTGAGTGAAATGAGCAAAACTAGGATAACATTGTACACAGTAAAAGCCACATTGTGTGATGACTGACTTTGATAGACTTAGCTCTTCTCAGCAATGCAAGTATCTAAGACAACTCCAAAAGACTCATGATGGAAAATGCTGTCCACATCCAGAGAAAGAACTTTGGAGTCTGAATGCAGATGGAAGCATACTATATGCTCTCCTTTTCTTTGTTGTTTTGTTTTGTTTCTTCTTTCTCATGGTTCCTACCACTAGTTCTAATTCTTCTTTATATCATGACTAATGTGAAAATATGCTTAATATGAATGTATAAGTAGAACCTACAACAGACTGCATGCTGTCTTGGGGAGGGTCGAGGAGGAGAGGGAGAAAATTTAAAACTCAAAATCTTATGGAAATGAATGTTGAAAAATAAAAATCAATCAATTAATTAATTATATATATTTTTAAAAGACAGAAAAAAAAGGAAGAAATAACTATGTGGTCCAACCAGGAGTGTATTGCTAAATTTTTAATAACCAGGTCTCTGAAAAACAAAACACATTTCTAAATTTAATCTGTATTATTAATATTTTTCCATCATTTTCTTAAGTCTAGACAATCAATAAAATAATAATTCAAGCCCTAAAAAAATTGACTCTGTACTGTAAATCTGTTTAGTGTTTGCACTGAACCAATTTGCACAACCAGTTTGCACTGTGCCCAAGAACCCTGAAGAATAGGGTGTAAGGTATTCATGTCTAGGAGTCAGCCCATGTGTCTATTATCCCCTACAGAAGCGCACCATGCTAGGCTGATGCAATTTACCACCCCTCGCCCAGAGTGGGCATGTAGTAAATAGCTGAAGAATACAAAAAAACTCACTCTTATTTCTCCACTTCTTCAGCATCATAGACATGATACCAACACAGAGCAGGATAAGAAGGAGCACACTGACAGAAGAGATCAGGATGGTGATAACTATGATAAAGCTGGAGAAAGACAAAGTGGAAAATGAGCAAAGCCTCCCCATATAGACCCAGTTTAACCATGCCATGCAGTGACTGCCAAGCCTCTATACCCTCCCTATTTCAACTTCTTCAGGCTCCCTCTGCTGCAATCCTCTAAGTCCATCTGCCTTCAGTTTATGGACGCCAGATGGACCCCTCTTCCATGGCTACTCCCATACGATCCTGAATCTTACATGCTGGTATCTTACCTACCTGATCCTTCCACTAACCATTGGACTCATGGTGGTATTGTCTCCTAGAAAGAAAAAACAAATAATGACTTGCCCAGTTGTCTCCCAAATAAGCACAGGCAATCTCTAGATCTTTCTCCAGGTCTAAAATCCTGGCATTCTTCTAATCATATTAAGGGAAATATACATTTAAAATAATTAATGCTTCATTGCTGGCCACTTAGGAAGCACTTTACCTGGACTGGCCGCTAAAGTTTCCAGTATAAGTATCATTACCCGCATTTTCAGATGTGAAAACTGAGACTCAGAGATATAAAGTAACTTGCCTAAGTTCCTCTAATTAGTAAGAGAAGAGTCAGAATCAAATGCCAAGATTTCTGGCTCTAAATTGAGTGCCCTTTTCACTAGGGACTGAGGTACTGAGAGAGGGTTAGTGTCAACAATGACAAGGAGGCTTTAAGATGGAACAATTAGAAAGATAGAAGGTACAATTAGAAAGATGGATACAATTAAATAGATGGTGCAATTAGAAGGTGTAGAAGGATGACTATGAATTAGGTAGGGTGTGGAAGGTACTTTCACAGAGCAATGGGAAAAGGTTAGCACCGTGCTTTGCATAAAGTAAGTACATAAAAAATGACTTTTAATTTAATTGAAATAAATTCGTGCATGCCATCTGCCCTCCTACCAGATCATAGGTCACAAACTCTATGAGAGGAAGCGCCATAGTTTAGCTAATTTTTAAATTACTCTCAGCACTCAGCATGGTGCACTACACATAGTAGTTGTTTACTAAATGCTTGTTGCATTGATTGGAAGGTTTGGAAGCATATAAAAGTTTGGAGTTGGCAAGAGTAGGAAGGAAGGTATGTGGGAGGCTGAGGTATAACTAGCAATTTTGGTGCCAGGTGAAGTAGAAAGAGATATCTCTGGGGCAAGACACCTAGAGAGGTACCTTCAGATCAGCTTTGTAATGCAAGATATCAAAATAATCCAGGATGCAATTATAATAAATTTAACTGTGCAGGAGGGAGACTTAGTTACTATAGGGATTTCTTCACTGCTCAATGAATGCGTATGTTAAATTTTTTTGCCCTCTAAATTTTGATGTCCTGAGGAAAAGCTCTGATTACTCCACCCTAGTTACAACTCTGGTAGGAGAGAGATGATGCCTGCCCTTGGTCATTATTGTATAGGGAGGTCAGAGGATGGACAGTCAGAGGTGCGAGTCTGATGTCCCTCCAGTTCAGTACCAAGGCCATAACTCACTGTGACAGGCTGTTAACATTGCAATAGAATTTACCCTAAGACCTCTGGGCATGGATGCAACCAAAAAGCTTCCCCTAACAGCAATCTAATTTCCGTTTCTCCCCCTTTATAAAGTAGAGGTGAATGATGTAGCCGTTACAGCTAGGAGCTCCTTTCCAGTAAGGTGGAAAGGCAAGATTTCTGGTCCTTGGAACTGACTCCTCAGAGACACGAGTTAGCTCAGAGGCCATTGCCATTGTGGGGTGGAATGGAGAAGTTGTCGGAAGGGAGGAAGCCATCTAAGATCAATCAGGAAATAATGACATCAGGAGATAAACACCAACTGTCTCAGGCCTCCAGTGGGCCTGGGCCTTTTGTTTCCTTGACAACTTTGAAACTGCTGTCACTCACACTTCCTCCTGGCCCTTTTCCTGCCTCCCTGCTGAGATAACTGGCCCAGTTACTCTTACATTTCTGTGAAGAGAGAGTAGAGGGGAAGCCAGGCCAATATAGTAAAAATGATAATCCTACCTAAACTAATTTACTGAATCAGTGGCATACCAGTCAAATTACCAAAGGAATACTTTACAGAGCTACCAAGAAGGATCCCAGTGGCCTTTTCTCAGCCTGAATTCTGCTCGCCTCCCCTCCCACCAGAGAGTCACCCCTTATAATAAAGATTTCTTTTTGATAAAAAGAGAAAAAAAATCAGCAAAACCGATTAATAATTTTTTTAAAATGATGTAATATGTAAAATGATGCAATAGCCTTTGCGTTGGTCTCCCTGCTTTCAACCTCTTTCCTTTTCTGATCCATTTTCCCTATAGCAGCCAAAGTGATATTCCTAAGGCCATGCTGAAGTGATAAAAATATGTCACTGCCCTGGTCAAGAAGTTTCAGCCACTCCCTATTGCCTCCAGAGTCAAATATAAACTCCTATGATTGGCATTCACAGCCCTTCTTGCTCTGGCTCAAGCCCATCTTTTCAGACTTTTTTTTTTCGAATTACTTCCTTAAATCAGTGTTTTTGTCTTTGTATTTTCAGTGGCTTGCACAGTGGCTGTTTTCAGTTATTTTTCCAACTCTTCATCATCCTATTTGGGGTTTTCTTGGTGAAAATACTGGAGTGGTCTGTCATTTCCTTCTCCAGCTCATTTTATAGATGAGGAAACTGAGGCAAACAGGGTTAAGGGACTTGCCCGGGGTCACATAGCTAGTAAGTCTGATTCCAAGCCTTGTCCTCTGTCCACTGCATCACCTAGCTGCCATGCCTTGCACTGAGTAGGAGCTTAATCAATGCTTGTTTAACTGAATTGAATGGCTGGGTAGGAGGGGAGCACCCCAGCATGAAGCTAGCAGGGCAGCATCTGTGATTGTCAGCTCTTTAAAAGCAAGGACTGTGTTTTGAACCTAGTTTTGTGCTTAGCAAATGTTTGCTAGATTCAATTCAATTTAACAAGTATCTCCAACGTGCAGAGTCAAGAAAAACAGCCCCTGTGCTTAAGGGGCTTACATTCTTTTGGAGGGATGGAGCATTTATGCAGATGAATGTAAGATAATTCTAAAAGGCAAAGCTTACTGACAACGGGGGGGGGGGTGATACCTTTAAGGCCAATGCAAGTGGCACCCAAGTCAGGAGAGAGGCTGAGGGATTCTTGGAGGCAGAGGTGAGAAGGAGATGCCTTCCAAGCATTGGGCTCAGCCTAGGCAAAAGCACAGAGGTGGGAACTAGAAAGCCAAATTTAGAGAATAGCTCTTAGACTACTTTCATCTATAATACGTGAAGGCAATAAGTCAAAGATGATTATGTAGTATGAGTCTGGGTGACTGAAAGGATGGTGGCTGCTTCAACAGAAAGAGCAAGGTTTAGAGGGGGGAAAATAACGAGTCCTGTTTTGGACACGCTAAGTTTGTGATGCATGTGGGACATCCAATATCTAGCAAGCAGACCAAAGATAAAGAACAAGATTAAGATGGTAGAAATAGGTTTAGGAGTCATCTGCACAGACAGGATAAGTGTTATCATGGGATCTCAAAGGCCATTGAATTCAACCTCTCATTGTACACAAGAGGAAATTATGAACGTCACTTGGGTAATAACCATCAGAGGTTCCTGACTCCATAGTGTGCTTTCTATTATATTATATCACCATTAGAAGTTTATAAGATGGGGCAGTGAGGTGGTACAGTAGATAAACCAGTAAGGCCTGGAGTCAAGAGGACCTGAATTCAAATCCAGTCTCAGACTTACTAGTTGTGTGATCCTGGGCAAGTCACGAAGAAGAAGAAGAAGAAGAAGAAGAAGAAGAAGAAGAAGAAGAAAGAAGAAGAAGAAGAAGAAGAAGAAGAAGAAGAAGAAGAAGAAGAAGAAGAAGAAGAAGAAGAA